GGAACCAGAAGACGCTTCAAGTAGGAAGCAGTGCCTGAGCTTTATCTTAAAGGAGAAAGATTCTAGGAAGCAGAGATGAGGAAGGAACAGTCAGGGTTAGGGTGACTCCCCCCTTTGGATTTAGTAAAAGGGTCACACTTGAGGACCTAAGGGCCACATGTGGCCTCGAGGCCACAGGTTCCCCAGCCCTGAACTGGGCCGTACAAAAATCAAAGGAACTGGAGAGACTTAGCCTGGAAAAGAGAAGGCTGCAGAGGGGTGTGTTGGCTGCCTTCAAACATCTGCAAGGGCTGTCGTGTGGAAGACCAGAATGGGGATGCTGTCCCCAGAAGGCAGAATTAAGCCATATACATTGCAGAGATAGAGATTTAGACTTAGTAAAAGGAAAAACAGCTAGTTGGAGCAGTGGATAGAGCACCGGGCCTGAAGTCAGGAAGACCTAAGCCCAAATCCAGCCTCAGACACTGACAGGCTATGTGACCCTGGGCAAGTCACTTCACCCAGTTTGCCTCAGTTTCCTCATCTGTCAAATGAACTAGAGGAGGTAATGGTGAACCACTCCAGTATCTTTGCCGAGAAAACCCCAAATGGAGCCATGAAGAGTCAAACCTGACTGAACAATGAAAAGGAAAGCCTCATGACGGTGAGAGCTAGGCCAAAGTGGATGGAAGTCTGCAAGCAGGGCTGCTTGACCGTTGGCTGCCTTGTACAGGGGATTCCTGTTCTTGTGTTAGCCCCACTGGCATTTGAAGCCCTTTTCCCTTCTGAGGTTTTGTGATTCTGTGGACTTCATTTCAGCCAGACTCTCCTCTTTGCGATTGCCTTTGACCTGGCATACTGTCACTGTCCTCCGTGCCTGGCCTGCACTTTCTCCTTCCCACTAACTCCCCCAGCAGCTAGTGCCCCCTCCTGCCTCAAAATACTTTATGTATTTGTCTTCGTGAAGCTCCCTGCATTTTGTAACCCTTTACGCTCTCAGAGGGCAAAGATTGTTTTGCTTTTTTCTCTGGATCCCCAATCAACAAGCATTCATTAAGCACCTACTATGTGCCTGACCCTGTGAGAAGCTCTAGCGCTCAGGCGCATAGTAGGTGACATAAGGGCACAGTGTGGCTGCAGCTGAGGCTTCTCAAATATCGAGTGTGGCTGAGCCGCAGTCAGCAGAGGCCCAGCCTCATTCATGCCAGAGAGGCTCATCACCAGGTGAGCTGCTGAGTGATACGTGTTCCCCACCACAGCTCAGGATGGTGTTGTCGTGATAATGACTGGCAGCATGGTACTTTAAAGTGGGCACAGCTGTACTACCTCACAACAGCCCAATGAAGTAGGGTACTACAGGGAGTGTTGTGCCCATTTTCCAGACGAGGAAACTGAGGCTCCAGGACTTGAAGTGACTTGTCCGTGGCCACATCCTTAGTATCAGAGGCAGCATTGGAACTTGGGTCTTCCTGGATTCAGCCACCTTCTCTTTTGCCAGGCTGCCTTACAGCTGCGTACCAAAGTCATGTATCCTTGGGGTATTGAGGAAGGGTATCAATAAGTTAGATGGCTCAGTGGATAGAGTGGTGGGCCTGGAGTCAGGAAGAGCTGAGTTCAAATCTGGCCTCAGACACTCGCTATTTGCTTTACGACTGTGGGCAAGTCACTAAACCACTATTTGCCTTAATCCACTAAAGGCAATGGCAAATCACTCCAGTATCTTTGCCAAGAAAATTCCACGGATGTTACGGACGTGCCATGGTCTACAGGGTCACAAGGAATCAGACACGCCTGAGCAACAGCATTCTAACTTGGTCTTTTCTTCCTCACTTTACAGTTCTGCAGTAACATGGACCTGCCTGTGGAGGAGTGGCAGTCCCACGTGCACAGGCGGTGGCTGCGGCTCCAGCCGTCTGTCCGGGCGGCGTTCTCCACCAGCGCCCTACAGGAGATTGTTCTGCTCTGCTCTTCTCTACTCCAGTAAGTCACTGGCAGCCCTGGAAGAGAGCGATCAGCCCCCAGGCCCGCGTCATCCTTTGCATGAAGGCATCCTTTCAGGCTCTTGGACGTGACGGTCCATGACCCCATTCCCATAGTTAGCTTGATCCCCACTCAGGCAACATCCAGAGCCTTCGTCTCACCTTCCCCCAGTTATCCTCCTTAAGGGTCAGGCGTGGGACTGAGCAACGTCTGAGGTCAACTAGCCTGAGTCCCTCACTTTATAGATCAGAGGGAGCCTTATGTTTCAGCTGTCCCAGCTCTTCTCAGGCTTCTTGTATTCAAGACCCCTTTATACTCTTAAAATAGTGAAGACCCCTCCCCAAAAAAGGGCAGTGTCTTAACATTAGTATGGAAAGGGTTGTGACGTTGCAGCCCTCCTGAGGCCCTGAGCAGCCTGTCGAGACTCGACCACATTGAAATCAGTACTCCGACCTCTGCGTTTTACAGATGAAGAGACTGAGGCCAAGAAATGCAAAGTGGCTTGCTTGAGGCCACATAACTAATAGATTTCAGAGGTGGGGTTAAGCCTGGGTCTTCCAGACCCCAAATCCTATAGAGCGTCCACCACCCTGCCTCTCAGGCCACCCCTCAGCTAGGGCTCCACCATGGCGGCCAGCCAGGTCATGGATCCTGCTTGGACCAGAAGCCGTCCTTGCTGCCAGTGTGGCAAGGTTAAAGTTGGCCATGGGGGGTGGGGGGTGACTGGTGAGTGACACAGTGGGATCTCCCACTAGGACCGTTTAAGGTCATTGGAGCACTGGGGGAAATACAAGTCAAGGAAGGAGGAGGCTTGCTCTCCATTCCGTGTTCTGCCTTGCTGATTGCGGTGCTGGGGGCAAGCAGGGGTGCTTAGGTACTTTACAGCTATGTAGGAAAGCCGGGTTAATGGTCTAATTTCTTCTCTTTCCCTCCCCTTCCTCAACCCTGCTGCCGTGTCCTCTTCCCCCATACCTGGAGTTCTCATAAAGGGAACCTCAGAGGTCTGTGTCTCTGAGAGTCGTTAGACTCAGCACACGTGTGTTTGCAGAGTCCACGATTTTTCAATGAGCCCTAGCCCTGGGGATCCTGAGCTTTGCTAATCACTCGGCAAGGAGCCGGGGGTGGTTCACCCAGCGTCAGCCCCTGTGGCGGGATGGGGGCCCCCTCAGAAGAGCCCCCATTGTGGCCTGTGCCCTTTGGGAAGTTAGATTCCAGAAGAAGAAGCAAACTGAACAGCATGCAACAATTCTTGAACAATAAAGTGTTTTAATTAGCGATAATCGATTCCAGCCAACTACTCAACCCGATGTTCCATCTCCTGACTCCTTTGCATAGGCTGTCCCACGTGCCTGGCCAATTCCCTCCTTCCCTCTGCGTCATAGAATGACTCCAGGTGCTCCCTTCTGCCACAGGCCTTTCCTCATCCCCCCAGCTGGGGGACTCTCAGGGATCGCTTTGTATTGGTTTGATAGCTGCTTTTCTGTGTAGATATTGTTCTTTCCCCTACCCCCCAAAAGACCCTTTAAGCTTCTGACTTTGTTTGCCCGGTGCCTGACACATAGCAGGGGCTTAATAAATGTTGATTGAAAGGAATAATAATCGCGGTGGAAGGAAGCCCTCAGTGTGACCCAGTCTGCTATAAGTGTGCCTTCCTTCCCTCAGCTTTCCAGGCTCCCTGCTTGACCTCTCCTTGGCGTTACCACATCCCAGACGATCTCAAGGTTGCTCTACCATCCTTGATAAGTGGTCATCCGGCCTCTGCATGAAGACCTTGGATGGGTCATAAGGTGACCACTCCAAAGGAGAGGATTCTGCCTAGAGGCCGCCTGGCCACGTTCTAACTCTCCTCTGTATTTCTCTAGTAACTGCGGAAGTTCAGCTCCTCCGGTTGCTTCCATTCCCACGTATCAGCAGAGAGGCGTAATCTCTCCTGTACGTTTCATGACTCCTCCTCTCGGTGCCCACACCACCACCTAACACAGGGCCTCGTCACTTCTGTCCCCACTCCACACAGCGGCCAGGGTGAGCTCTGTGTATGCCCCTCCCCACTCGTAAACTAACAGCCCCCTCTTGCTTCTAGGTTCAAATACAAAGTCCTCTGTTTGGCTCTTCACAACCTGGCCCCTTCCTACCCTCCTAGTCTTCTCACACTTTTGTCTCGTCCACACACTCTAAATCCAGCATTCACTAACCTTCAAAACTCGACTCGGATGCCCCGTCTGCAGAAGCCTTTCCCGGTCCACATAGGTACTCGAGCCGTCCCCTCCAAGGCTACCATCCATCTGCTCTGTGTATATGTGGAACGGACCTAATTATTGAGCCGTTGTCTCGCGCATTCGAATGAGAGCGCTTGGAGGCAGGCGTCGTTTTTGCCTTGCCCTGTGCTCCCACCCGTCGGTACAGTGTCTGGCATATAGTTGGTACTTCATCAACGTGGGACTGATGGGTTCCTTTTGAGCCATTCCTTCCTGGGCCCTGCTACACGTTCCCTGAGTGAGGGATGTCCTGTGTCCCCTTTCTCTCTGCTTGGTGCCCTGGGTGACCAGTGGACTGCTGACCGCTCATTGGCCCCTCCAGGTGCCAGCGCGCCACATCAGACTGCCTGGCCAGCAGGCTTCTCCAGCCCCTCCAGCATCGTGTGCTGCCATGTACGCTCTCCCCCCCACCTCAGATCTCACTTGGCCATGTGTTCTCATGTCTGGGCATCACTTTGTGCCGTTTCATCTGCGAGTGATGAGTGTTCATAGAACGAGAGGATATTGTGTTTAGAACTTGAAAGCCCTGAGAGGCCATCTTGTCCACCTCCCTTGTTTTACAAACGAAAAAGCCGAGGCGCAGGGAGGTAAGTGGAGGGCCTAGCCCCCGCCATGGCCTCCCGGGTCCCTGGGCTCCCTATCCAGGGCCTCCTCCCCAAGACCAGGTTTCCTAGAAACAAAGGTCTGTGCTGGTCTGTGGCCATGTGAGCCTTCTCTCCTTTTTGCAGACCTGAAGATGAGGCATTTTTACAAAGACTTGCTGAAGGTTACTCAGTGGAGAAGGATCCAAACGCCTACCTTTTTTATAAAGAAGAAGGGAACAAGGCATTCCAGAAGAAGGCATACAAGGCAGCCGCCCTGCTGTACTCTCAGGTGAGGGGTGGGGCAGGACAGGTCCAGCAGGAGGCGCTACAGCCCCATGATGGACGGCTCTGCCTTCTGGAGGCATACAGCTGCACCAGTGAATGGTGTCACTTAGACCTGGTCTGTAATTAGAGGTTTGGATAGAAGAGAGGACACTTGGCAGAACTGTCCTTGACTGTGTTTAGGAAACAAAGGGAACCTTGTACTGTGGGTCCTACATTCCATAAAGAAACCCCTGTGTTCTTAAATACATAGCTGGAGTATGTGGTCCCAGCTATGGACCGTGTGGGCCTCCTGCCAAGCCTCGTCTGTCGACATCTGTCAGCCCCATTGGATCAGAGGCCATTTTAATATGAAGGACTTACGTTAGCCCTTCAGTGCTCTTCCATGCCCCAGCGGGGTGAGCGCAGATTGAAACCCTGTGTGACTCGGTTGGTGGCCTTTGGGAGTTGCCGTGGCAGGAAAGCTTCTTGCCCTGTGGCCCACCTGGCCAGGAGCCGCTCTGAGCTTAGCGAGGCTATGGCTCAAACAACAGATGTCCCTGACCCCTGCTCACAGATTGCTAGAACCTGCCAGAGCTTGCCCTTCGCTGGCAAAGCCTCTAAGACTCCAGGGTCCCCTCCGTGCCTCGACACAGAGATGCTGGATGCCCGTGGAGCATGTAAAAGGACTGACTGGTGAAAACTTCCAGTTTGCTAGTCCTGCACAGGTCCTTTGAGTGAATAGATAGATCATAGACAGCTCAAGACGAACAGGACTCAGGACATTTCCTGAGTGGCTAACGATCAGATCCACTCACAAATCCTGGCCCTGGAAAATTTGCCCCGCCTTCCATGCCTCTGGCCAGCGTACCCCACCAGCACTCCCAAGACAAGAGAAGCATACCTCACCTCCTGCCTAAGCGGGGGAAGAGTATAAGGTCTGGGAGATTTTAGATTGTGAGAGGATCTTCTGGCTTTGGAATTAGTGGGTAGAATGTAAGCTTGAGATATGGACCAGAAAGTGGAAGTCCTCCGTGCCCCACAGTGAGCAGCACTGCGAGAAGCTCTCTCCCATTCCCTTTAGCAGCAGGGAAAGATGTTGCACCAAGATTGTGGAGAGGGGCTGACCGTCCCTGCCTCAGTCCTGGTCTAGAAACCCAAGGCTTCAGGCCCGCCGGCTTCACTTTGAGCCAGCCATGTCTGTCACGGCTATAGAGCGTCTTTTGGCAATGGACCCCATGGCCTCTCTAAGAGCCAGGCATTTTGGCTGGCTATTTGTACTGACAGATCCTCCCTTTTCTCGGAGAGTTTGCTCAGAGCGTTGTTTTCACTACCGCCCCAGCAGATGGGCCCTACATGGAACCATACCAACCTCACAGTTTTTGATGACTAACCCTCTTGCCCACTGTTTCTTCAAGGGGTGCATATGTGTTGGGGTCTTTTTTTTCTTTTTTTAATTTGATAATTTATTTTTCCCCAATTAATGTGTAAAAACAATTTTTAACATTCATTTTTAAAACTTTGAATTTCAAATTCTCTCCCTTCCTCTGTCCCAACCCCTCTCATTAAGAAAGCAAGCAATTCGATATAAGTTATACATGTGCAGTCATGCAAAACATTACCATATTAGTCATGTTGTGAAAGAAAACATAAACCCCCCAAAAAAAACCCTTAAGAAAAATAAAGAAAGTGACAAAAATATGCTTCAATCTACCTTCAGACCACATGGGACTTACCTTGGGGGTCCTCTTGTCTGTTTCTGCACAGAGGTAGAAAGACCCAGAAGTGAGTCCTGAATGGGCCAGGCTCCCTGGTGGTGCAATCTCTAATGCTGAGAGTCTGCCTTCTGACCAGTCGTTGGGCGTGTATGTGGAGACATCCCGATGAATTAAAACGGACCCGATTCCACGGGTGCCATGGAGGATGACCGGCTTCATGGGGTCGGCCCACTAATTACAGCAGATGTTACATAGCGTTTGAAGCTTCCCAAAGTACTTCACAATTTTGTCATCCTTCCCAACAGTGCTGTGAGATTGATACTGTAGTATCATTTACCCCCATTTTACAGATGAGAAAGTGGGCTTGGAAAATGTAAGTGACTTGCCCATGATCACACGGCAAAGTCGAGAGTCAAACCCAAGTCTCTCCTGCCTCCAAGTCCAGGTGTCTTTCCACTCTGCCTCCCACTTTATGAATATGCTGCCTAAATATGTGACATGTATGTAAAAAGGGAGACAGGTGGAATTCAAGGGAAAAATACAAAATAAAAGGAAACATTAAATGGAGACATAAACAACTTCCAAAAGCTAGTGGGCTGATGATGGCGTTAATACTTTGCATTTGTTTATGCTGCTTTTATTTTCCATCACTCCACAAGAATTTATTGATCACTTCCTAAGTGCCTGACACTATGCTCAGTGCTATAGATACAGAGAAAAAGCAAAAACATCGCCAGCCCTCAAGGGGCTTACACTCTAAAGCTGTGCTTTTACCCCCTTACCTCAGTGGGTCCCACAGCAGGGCTCTTAAACCGGGCAGGGCTACTGTTGTTATGCCTGCCTTAGAATGATTTTGCCCAGGTATATACATTGACAAGTAGTAGTGGGCCTGGAACTCCAATCTTGGTCCCCTGATAAAGCTCCTTTCGTTCACTGGCATCTCCTTATCCCTCCTGCAGGGAACCTCCCATGCCAGACCCAACACTCAAGAAATGTCATTGTGTTTTGCCAATCGCTCTGCAGCCTTCTTCTATCAGGCTCAGTATGAGGTGAGTACCAAGATGCCTGCTGTGGTTGGCAGAGAAGGGCTTTTATCACCCTGGAGCCAAAAAGAGCTTCAGTAAACTCTGCCTTCCAAGGACATGAGTGCCAGGAAGGCCCCCAAAAGAATGGGCCCCCCCCCAAGTCTCTTTCCAGGAGGGTTCATCCTGAACGGCCTGCTGTTTTCAGCAAGAAGGCATCCGTAATGTGGCCTCTGGGGTTTTGGGAAGAGGGACTGCTGTGGAGCCCAAGTCGTGCAGGAAGACTTGGAAGGGGACAGAGTCTGAGCAGGATTCTTGGAGGGTGACCGGTCCCTCTGCGTTACCTGCTATGGGCAGGACAGGGAGGGTGTTCTGACCTCCCTGCGTGGGTGCGTGGTGCTCCTTTTGGCTGGGGCCGTGGGAGCTCTGCTTTCAAAGCCCACAGCCCCGGTTCTGCCCACCACCCTTCCTGGCCTGGAAAGAAGAAAAGTGGTTTGAACCTTTGTGAGTCTCTTGGGGTTTGGTTGTAGCTTCGGGGGCTCTGATCTCTCTGCCTTTCTTTGTCTGAGATTTCCTCAACTCCTTCATCAAACAAGGATTTCCCATCAAAGGGAAGCAGCTCTCTTTTAGTCTTAGGTTCCCATGGGACCAGGCCTAGACAAAATCAAACATGGCTTCTGGTGTCTGAGCAGCAGCATGGTGCAGTGAGGGCCTGGAGGGAGGGGGCCACTGGATTGGAACGTGGGAGACCGTGACTCAGATATTGCCTGCAGCGATGGCGGGGCGCTACGGGGAGTCAGATCCCCTCTGCCTCCCTATCGCCTCCTGTAAATGGGATTGTTGACACCTGGCCTACCTCCCAGATGGGATCACTAGGAGGAAAGCATCATGTGATGGGGCACGCTCCTGGAGACCTTTAGCATGACATGAGAAGCCTCTGGTGCTTCCTGAGAGTTCTCTGAGGCATCTGCTAAGGCATGATGCCGTGAGCAGAGTGTGGGACTCGAGGTCAGGAAGACATTGGTTTGAAGCCTGCCTCAGACGCTTCCATCGATCAGTTAGTCAACAAACATTAATTAAGAGCCTACTACGTGCCAGGCACTGTGCTTAGCATTAGGGATACAAAAAGAGGTAAAGGATAATCCCCGCCCTCAAGGAACTTACAGTCTAACAGGGGAGACAGCACGAAAACAATGTACAAAAAGCTATGCAAAGCAAGCTCTATACCAGATAAATAAGAAATAATGAACAGAGGGAGGGCACTGGAATTAAGAGGGATTGGGGAAGGCTTCCTGTAGGAGGTGGGATTTTAGTTGGAACTTAAAGGAAGCCAGGGAGGTCAGCAGTTGGAGAGGAAAAGGAAGAGCATTACAGACATGGGAGATAGCCAGAGACAATGCCGAGAGCTAAGGGATGGAGGGTCCTCTTCATGGAGCAGCCAAGAGGCCAGTGTCCCTGGATTGAGGGGTGTGTCCCCCTAGCCAACTGACCCCACCTGTCTGGGCCTCAGTCCGTTGAGGACTTTCAGATGACTGCCAATGGCCCTTCCAACTTCAGATCTCTAATCCTCTGTTTGATGTGGCTCTAATAATCTGGCAGCCCCATACAGCTTCCAGCTGGGCTGTACAGAAGCTGCCCCCAGCACGTGGCTGGTCTGGCCGCTTGGAGCCGGGCCCTGGAGGATGGAGTAGCCTTGATGTTAGCAGCCCTCTGTCATAGTCTTGGCTATAGGAACCTGCTTGGCAGGTACTGGGGGCGTCATTATAAGGGGTCATCCAGGGTTATGTAGATACCTTAAGTCTTTGTGACCTGATGGGTTCTGGACATTCACTCAAAGTGGTCAAGAGGTTGTCCACCCTGAATGGCAGTTCAGGGGAGCTCCCTTCCCTGTAACAGATTATTTCTCCAAAGTTTTGCCAATGTACTTTTGGGGGTGATTGGACTTCTAAAGCCAACAAAATGGGCAATTTGGAAAAAGACAGGTGGATGGAGTATGTTGCGACAGTTATTTTGTAGGTTAGCTCTGCTTAGCTATCTTTCTTTGTTACAAAAGTGGGTTCAGTGGGGGAGCAGCCAGGCTTAGAGGGGAAGCAAGCAACTTTAAGAAATAAAAAATAAGCTCATACAGGATTGTCACACATGGATTTTGTTTGTTTTTTTTTTTTAAACCTACTTTGGGCAGAAATTAACTCTTGTGGTTGAGAGACTCAGTCAACAATCATTTATTAAACACCTACTGTTCCCCACCCTCATCCTCTACTAGAGTTACAAAAGCGAGATGGTCCCTGCTTTCAGGGACTTGGGTTCTATGGAAGGATGCAGCCTGTTCGTAGATCAGTAAATAGAGGGTATATCCAAAGCCAACGCAGATCGGGTCCCCGGGGGGCAGAGCAGGCAAGGGGAGGCCTCTCAGGGGAGGTAGACCTTGGGCCGCCAGGAGGGAGGAGGGATTGAGGACAGAGAGCTTCGTGGGCCTGGGAGGGAGCCAGATTCAGAGTGACCTGTATAGGGAACAGTACCGGCTAGGACAGCCATTGCCCAAGGGGGAATCGAGTAATCCTCCTGAATAGAGGGGCAGGAGTCGGACTGTGCCCAGCAGAGGAGTTTGGTATTTGTCCTCGAGGCAACAGGGTGCCCCTGCAGCTTCTTAAACAGGGCTTCCCCACACTTGTTGCAAGGACCGTTTGTTTGCTGCAAGGTGGACCCCTCATGTGATATATGTTTATCCCGTTATATCGTCCTGGCAGGTTCTGTAATGCAGGGAGAACCAAAGCATTTGTAGAGGTGCAGGTGGCCCCCCAGAGAACAGGAGTCATATTCCCATTTCCTCTCTAATTTTAGACTTGTCTGGAAGACATTGGGAGAGCCCAAATGCACGGGTACCCAGAAAGATTGCAGCCCAAATTGATGCTGCGCAAGGCCGAGTGCCTCATGGCCCTGGGCAGGCGACAGGAGGCAGCCCTGGCCATCTGTGACCTGGAGCAGAACATGGCAGCTCAGCAGGCCGGCAAGGGCACTCCCCATCTCCAGGACCTGCAGAGGAGGCTCCGCCATCTGAAAACAAGGGGGCAGGAGGACAAGGGCCCTGCAGAGGCTTGTCCCACAGGACCACCACCCGCCTCCAAAGAGGTCCATCTGGAGGCCGAGAACGAGCAGATTCCCAACGCGACATCATCCGTGAGCTTGTGCAGCGACCCTTCCAGAGGCCGCTATCTGATCGCCACTGAGGACATCCTTCCCGGTGAGCTCCTAGTGAAAGAGGAGGCTTTTGTGAGCGTCCTCAATCCTGGAGAGACACTGTGGCTGCGGCCTGGCCCAGAAGCCAGGCGAGACGGCAGAGCTGCCCCTGGGGACCTCCATTGTCACCGCTGTTTGAAACCCGCCGTGGCCACAGTTCCCTGTCAGGGATGCAGCTACGCCAAGTACTGCAGCCAGCAGTGTATGCAGCTGGCCTGGGAGCGCTATCACAGGAGGGAGTGTTCCCTGGGTGGGACGCTTCTCACCCTGGGAGTCTTTTGCCACGTGGCTCTAAGGACAGTGCTCCTGGCTGGATTTCAGCTTGTTGACAAACTCGTAAAGACGCTTCAGGGAGCTGTAAATTCTGAAGCAGTTTCTGTACCTGAAGGCCAGCCTCCAATGGAGAAACTGGATGCCCAGCCCGACCTGGGGGAAAGGGACCAAAGGAGGAGGCTGTCTGGGACACCACTTCCTGGGTGTGACAGGGATGGCCGTTATCAAAGTTCTTACAGTGCCGTCTTCCACCTCTTGCCCCACACAGAAAAGCACAGCCCAGAGCACAAGTTCCTCTGTGGCCTAAGTATCGTGGCCTTGTGCAAGAAGCTGGGAGAAGCCTATTGGCCTTCCCCGCTGTGGGGTCAGGTGCCCTCCGAGCTGGAGGCAGCCTTGACAACGGAGTGGTCACCAGGGCCCGGCATCTGGGCAGTGGCCATGCTGAGGCACGTGCTACAGCTGCATTGTAATGCCCAGGGAGTGACTGCCCTCCAGGAGGTCGGTAAGTGGGTAGAAACAGGTCATCCCTGAGGGCCTTTTTTTTCTTTTTCATCTTGGTCTTTATCTATAATGGAGTGATTGACAAGAAAGTCAGCTTAAAGGAGCATCCCAGAAAAAGTTAGCCAAGCATTCTGGAAGAGCTCAGTGCAAGGAAGGAAAGGAAAGTGGAAGGAAGTGAGAAAGGGAGGAGGGAAGGAGGGAGAGGAAGGAAGGGAGGGAAAGTGGAAAGAAGGGAGGGAGAGAAGGAAAGGATGGAAAAATGGGAAGAAAGAAGGAAAGGAGGGAGGGAAGAAGGGTGGAAGGAAGGAAAAGAAGAAAAATGGATGGGAGGGAAGGAGGGAGGAAGGAACATTTAGTAAGTGCTGACCCAGCTCTAGACCCTTTTCTTTCTGCTGACTCTCTGACCTTAGCAGAGGGCCTTTCTACCTTCTATAAAAGTGAGAAAAAGGGGCAGCTAGATGGCGCAGTGGATAGAGCACCGGCCCTGAAGTCAGGAAGACCTGAGTTCAAATCCGGCCTCAGACCAAACACTTGACACTTACGAGCTGTGTGACCCTGGGCAAGTCACTTAACCCCAGTTGCCTTTAAAAAAAAGTGAGAAAAGAATGTCTTTCCTTCCCACTCACCTCCTAGGGTGGTTGTGAGGCTCAGATGGGCTATCAGTCAATCAGCAAGAATTGCTTAAGCATATACAATGTGCTAGGCACACTGTGCGCTGGGTCCTGGGCTTCCAGAGAAGTGAAGTAGCCCTGCCCTCCGAGAGCTTCTACTCCACCCTGGATCCAGCCTAGCTTGCACTGTGCCCTACAAATAGCGACTCAGGTTGGGCAGAGCTTGAGGAGGGCTTCAGGCTGCCCCTTGATCCGGGTCTTAAAGGAAGTTAGAGACGTTGTAAAAATCCTTTGAAAGGGGTCAGAGGGGTCTGCAAAATAATGCAACAATACTGCACTGTTGGAAGGTAAATGATGTCTCCTTTACTGGTGTCCAGGGGAAGTAAACTTTTTGCCAGAATAAGAGTAAAGCTCACATGGTTTAGTAGGTAGAATGCTAAGATCTCCCTAGGTGTGTGACCATAAGCAAGTTGGTCCACCTCTGTCAGCCTCAGTTTCCTCACCTGTAAAATGGTTTTTACCTGGCAGAATGGGCCTTGGTGGTGCAGAGGTGTCTGACCAGAGGCTCCATCTCACCTCCCCAGCAGGGCAAGCATCCAGAACTCAGGTCCCCAGTAGCTTTGGCTTTTTTGTCCTGGGCTGCCCCCATCCCACCCCCACCCGGCCTCCCGTTGTTTCTTCTCAGTTCTTTCTTGCCTTCCTGGGCCGTCCCTGTTTTTTAAGCAGCATCCACCAAGTAGACTTTAAGAGGTTTGGGGTTTTTTTTTTTTCCTTGGGTATATTCACTTGCATTTTCTAATTAAATCTAATTTGGTTTTAATCTGCCCATATTTCTAATCTTGGTTTTATCCCTTTTTATTATTTCACTGGGGCTCCAACACCTCCCAATTTAGTGTTCTCATTGAATTTCATTAGCAGCTGTGTCATTAGTAACACAGAAGGAGGATTAAAGTGTTAAATAAGAGAGAGACTTTGACAAAGAACCTCAGAAGCATTTGTTGTTCTACTTGCAAAAGTCCTGTTCTCGAAATTTTTGAAGCAATGTTGTTGTCTCGGGGGAACGAGCCAGTCCTTTTGCTTGGGGTTAAGCTAAGCCTGCTGTGTCTTCGGTCATGTGGCAGGAGGCAGCAGGCTGTGAGCGAGGGTCTCTACGGCCACCCTGGCTTTGCTGCCACCAACCAGTAGAGTGACCTTGGGAAGGTCACTTCTCTGGGCACCTCTCTTGAAGGCTTCTACAAGCTTTCCAGCCTTTTATGACTCCAAGAAACCGCCCCAGCTCAATGGGATTTCCCCAAGGGTTCCCATCACTCCCCTTTCCTTCCCATGACCAAGGGGGTGATCTGTAGCTTGAATTCTCACTTGGGGGGCTGCGTCTTGGCACTGTTTTTGCCTTCGATGCCAGCCTTCTAAGTCCTGTATAACTCTATCTCTACCAGTTAAATCTTTTCTTAAAGGCAGTAGAGGGCTTGCTTGTTGGAAGGACGCCAGCGATGACAAGCAGCACTTGATGTATCACTTTCAAGTTTGTCAAGGCCTCTACATACCCAATATTAGCTCATCCAGTTTTCCCAGCAACCCCGGGAGACAGATGTAGCCAATGGTATTAGCGCCATTTTACAGATGACAAAGCTGAGTCAGGCTTCGTGACTTGCCTATGGTCTCACAGCTATAGAAATGCCCAAGGCAGGATGTGACCCCACATATCAAGCTGCCTCTCTGAATTGTCTGAGAGGTAGAGCCTGAGGGGATCCCAGAGGCCATCTGGGCCTATCCATGCATTTTGCAGATGAGGAAACTGAGTCCAAAAGAGGGAAGTGACAGGTAACAATTAATAGGGCCAGAGTTCGAACCCAGGTCTCCCTATTCCAAAGCCAGCGTTCATTCCACAGTACCCAGGAAACCTCCCACTCATCCTTTCCCTCACCTCCCACAGCCAAAAGTTACCAGGTTTTGTTGATTCTCCATCCACACTGTTGCTCCCACCCATCTGCCCCCTCTCACAACCTGGATCTCCTGAACTCTTGAAACCACCTCTTACTCAGTCCCTCTGAATCCACTCTCTTCCCACATCCCATGTGCCCACATCACCATCTTGACCCCACTCTGATAATTGTATAATTATGATACACTCATAGTCATGATTATGATTTATGCCCTGATAATTCTACAATAGAATTATATAATTAAATATATTCTCTGATAATGTCATTTCTTTCTTTAGAAACTTTAGGTGGCTCTCCATCGTTGATGAAAGTATAAATTCCTGACCCTGACATCGAAAGCCCTTCAGGGTTTGTTTTGGTCTTTATCTCCAGCTCTTTACTTATTCCAGCCAAACCCAAGGACTGACCTTCCCCATTCTCATCCCGCCCTGTTCCCCATCTTTGTGCCTTGGCTTATTCCATTTCCTGTGCTTAAAATGACCCCCTGTCCCTGCCTACCCTCTAGGCCCAGCCTGGGGGCCCCCCTCCTCCTTTTTTTTTTTTAACACATTCTTTATCTTCGCTTGACAAAAATCTGTTTTCTCTCTCCCTGCCCCTCCCCGTCCTTCTCTTTCTCTCTGAAGGTTTTTCTGATCCCCACAGGTGAGAATCATTTGTCCTACATCTTTCCACTGCTCTTCTCTTAGATTCTTAGATAGCTCTTCCTTAATCATAGTTCTCTGAACATGCTGCGGCTCTGCCCACCTCTCTCCTCTCTCCCTCCCTCTCCTCCCCCTTCTTCCTCTCTTCTCTCTCTCTCTCTCTCAGCTTCTGCAGGGTCCTCTGCCTTTGGAAAAGTGAAGAAATCACTCCTTCCTCAATTTCTTTTTTATATTAAGTCCCCATTGTCATGTAGCTTTCTTAAAGGGAGGTGGTTCCTGTGTTCCATCAGCTTTCCACAAGCATTTCTTCCTTCTCCCATCCATACTACAATAGCCCCCTCTGATGCAGCCCTTTATGCTTTACAAAATGCTTCCCTCACAGAGAAGTAGGTAAATATCCTTATGCCCATTTTACAGAAAGATGAAGTGACCCACAGTATGACCTCCAAGTGGGTCACAGCCAGGAAGTTCCCCCTGGCCTCCTGACCATTGGCGCATCACGTCCTGCCCCTCTGTGCTCTGATGGAAGGGGGGGCGGGGTGTGACTCAGCCAAAAGCAGGATGATTTCTAAATCACGTTTTTTGGAACCCAATCAGAGACACACCCAAGTGACACTCACTTCTGTTCCTGAGCCCACTCCTGTTGGGGAGAATCCATAAATAATTTGCAAAACTGATATCTCTGACTGGAGTGTGATGTTTTTAGGGAAAATTTTTAGCAACTGTTTTCTTGTCGATTGTCAGCTATCACTAGCTGAGAAGTGGGCTAGTCCACCTGGAATCCTTCTGAGGCTGTTCCTCCAGACGGGACAGTGACCCTGCCTGCCTCCGAGCATTTTCTCAGCTCATTAGCACCTCCAGAGAAGAGGACTGGGGACAAAACTCCCATCAGTCAAGATGATGCTTATTCGACACCTTAGGGGACAAAATTAGTGGGACATTTCCAATAAAATGCATTATTCGGAGTCTCTGGGAATTACACTCACCTGTGTCTTCCCATCCCCCCCAGGGGAAATGGGCCATGGAGGGAAGCTGTAGGCCCTGGCCTCACCCTGACTTATGTGAGACAGGCTTCATTCAGAACCAGCCACTGGGGGTAGAAATCTTTCCCACGTGCATTCTCCTCTGACTGCTAAGTAGAGGAAATGGAACAAGCCGTAACCTTTTCTTGATGACTGGAGGTCAGCTTCATGCACATCCGTTAATGGACTGTCAGGTAATACAGCAGTGCCCTCCGGACCGTTTGCCTTCCAATGATCCTGGCCCTCAGCTGGATTCTGATAATTGAGGTTACTAGATAACTGACCTCTGATAAGTGACACGTAACTATAAAGTAACTGCTGAAAACATCTGCCTGCCTCTGCTCCGTGTGACCCCAGACGGCTATGACCTTTTTAAGTCCTTATGTCCATTAGCGTTTTTCTCTTTCCTCTCGTGGCTGGCATGTCTTGCTGTTCCAGCATGCCTGCCTTAAGCAACTGTTCCCTTCCCGCTAATTTGCTGCTTTTATGTGCACTGACCTGGGAAAACAATTTAAACAAACTTGTTAGAATTGTGTCTAAAATAAGAGTAGTTTTGGAATGAGGGCCTGAAGATAGCTCCAGGAGTAGGGATGGACACGATTAGGTGGTCACCTAGAATACAAGGGATGCTTTTCACTATTGCTTTTTGTAAATCTTTTTAATGCCAGCGAATTCCATTCTTTGTGGCATGACAGCCTTCATTTGATAATGTCTAGTAGTCGGGTCTCAGCAAAAACTTAAGGCTTCTTCCCGTGGACAGTGAGGCACAGCATAAGGGACACAGGTTTCAAACCTCGATTCCAGCATCCAAATAACTTGTTCCAGCTCTGTGGGAAGGGCTGTCCTGCAAGGAAAGAACAGGCGCTTCCTTGTCAGCATTTCATGACATCTGTTGTGGCTGCTCATGGGCCTCTGTGCTTGTTGGCTGTGTTCTGGATAACCATTTTGTCAGAAAAGTGACCTTCAGATAAGCGAAGAGATGGTTTAAACATCAAAGCCTCTCCGCTAGTATGAGGGCTGAGATTTCTTTCAGGGGGAACCGATGTTAAAACTGATTTCCCAGCAAGATGCTGGGCAGACACACGGAAACTGGGAGCTTTTGAAACGGATTGAATGAGTAAACCCAGTCACCTTGCTGCTGCTCATTTAGAGGGAGATAGATGTCTCAAGGATGTGCTGTGCAGATACTCAGCCCTCTACTATTCGACATTTTTATCACTGATGAAGGTATGGAGAGCATGCTTGTCAGAATTGTTGACTGCGAGAAGTAGGAGAGGCGATCAAACACGTCAAATGACAGAATCAGGATCCTGCCTGATTGTGACAGACTAGAATGATAAGCCAGGTCTAATTAGATGAAATGTATAGGAGGCAGCCTAAAACCCCTACTTGGTTTCAAAGAACCCATTTCCCAGGGACAGTATGGCTAGACAGGAAGGCAGGGAAAGACAGCAACTTGTGTGAAGAAGATCTCAGGGTCTTAATTGACTGCAAGCACAGCCTGAGCCAACAGCATGATGTTAAGGGAGGCGGTACCTAGGACAAAGGGGACAGTAATGTTGCTGTGCTCTGCCCGGGGCAGACCATCTCTGGAGTGTTGGGTTTTGTTCTCTGAAGGCCATCACAAGCTAGAGAGAGCCCAGAAAGGTGTGGGAACTCAAAACCATGGCGTACAAGGACCTAACAGAAGAACCAGGCACTGTAAACCTGGAGGGGAGAAAAGTTAGGAGGAATTTGTTTCAGATCTTCAAGTATTTGAAGGGCTGTCATGAGAAATAACCTTGTTCCTCTTGGCTCAAGTGGGCTGGGACCAGGAGCAGTGGGTGGACGTCGGAGGCAGAGTTGGACCTTCCGGAAGGAAAGATTCCTAACAATTAGAACTGTCTGAAAGGACAACAGGGAGTTTGGGAGGCGGCGGGCTCCTTGACTTCTGGATGTCCATGTTGGTGATGGTCTAGAAGGGGTTTGGGGTTGGGGATGGGTAGGAGGAGATGGTTTCCTTTCTGAGGTCCCTTATCACTCTGAGCTTCTGCAAAGGACTCAGGATCCTTTCATATATTCAACCCACACATGTGAAAAATGTGCTTGGACGGTGGCTAGGATACTTGTTAAGTTAACCAACCAAATGTCTGATAAATCAAAGCGTTTGCCTTACAGTGACTTGGAACATCTCTGGGAAATAGTCCTGACGTCACTTTGGTCTCTGTACCCTCACGAACATCCTCATGCCACCAGGCAGGACGCTTCCCTGGTGATAATTCCTTTTTGATTATTATTTAAGGTATTTTAATCTTTGGGTTCCTCTTCATGATAATGAGAAAGAATGATTAGGCTTCTAAGATTCCAGGGGACTTTTGCTTTAAATATGTTCATTCCCTCTGCCTCCCAGGGGCAAGAGAATGCTGTGAGTCATGTTCCCTCCTATTTATACTGCATCCGCTTATAAAGATATGAGTCAGATGGGCTAAAGGCCCAGTTTCCTATCTCCATCTTCTGAGATATGGGTAGCTGGGCTAGAGCTGGTGTCCTGATGTGGTTGTCACTTTCAGAATCTGAAGGGGACCTCGTGACAGAGCACAGGCAGGCCCGCCTTGCCACCGGCTTCTTCCCCGTCATCAGCCTGCTGAACCACTCATGCAGCCCCAACACCAGCCTGGCCTTCAGGGGCTCCGTGGGCACGGTCCAGGCATCACGGCTTATCGCCCGCGGGCAAGAGATCCTCCATTGTTACGGTGAGCCACCCCCCCCCCCCCCCCCCTTTCCTGAGAAGAAGGAGCCCACAGGAAGCCCTCTCCCTTCTTCGCTTCCAGGAGGATGGCAAGCCCAATGCATCCAGGAAGAAGGGTCTGAGCTCTAAACAGAGAGGTCTCTTTCACTGGCCCCCTTATCACCCAGCTGCCCTACACCCTGCACACACACATCCCCCATGTGGTCCTTACTAAATGCCTTCTTTTCTGAAGGTGGTCTGGACAGGTGTCCCCTTGGTTCCTGCTTTCTAGTCACCCTGAAGCCGGTATTCTCTTGCATCCATCCCCCTGTGTTTGGCTGTGGGGGCTCACAAAGGGAGAGGGTTGTCCCGAACCCTCTGCTGGGCCAGGGCGAGTATGCTCTGGCCTTTCCTGTTCACATGCCCCTCGGTTGTGTCTCACGCCAGGACCTCATGAGTGCCGCATGGACGTTGCCACAAGGCAGCAGAAGCTGAGATCTCAGTATTTCTTTGACTGCTGCTGCCAGGCTTGTCAGGATGAGGAGGCGCGTCGGGCCAACACGACACCAAAGCAAGGCGGGTTCCGTTGCCCCACCTGCCAGGCGGCTCTGCAGGTACCTTTCCTCCTCCTTGGGTCTCTGCCTTTTATACTGCTTTCTGCTCCAGGCCATGGCTGGAACTCTTGGTAGACAAGCGTTCCCTGGCTTTCGAGGCAACTCCACACCCCCACCCAGATTCTCTCACTAGTAATAACAATAAATAGCTGTTGCACAGTGCATTAAGATTCACACAAAGTCCTTCACATACATTCTCATTAACCCTCACAACAAACCATGAGAGGCTCTCCCATGGGTACAATTGTGGCTTGTTCACAGAGGAGGAAAGGGAAGCTCAGAGGGAGACTTGTCCATGGTCATACAGCTAATGGCTATCAGAGGTGGGACAGTTACTCAGGACTGTCCTGCCACCAGATCTAACATTCATTCCACAACTCTTCCCAAGGGCACAGCAGAAGGTTCTCTCCTCTCCTTGGTTCATTGAGCATGTTGGTAGGTGCCTTAGTGAAGCAAGGTGCTGATTGGTAAAGTATAATGAGAAAGGCAGTGGATTTAGAGTCAAAGGACTTGGGTTCTAATCCTGGCTCTGTTACTTACTACTGCTTTATCCTCAACCCGTGAGAGGATTGGGCCGGATGCCTCTGAAGCCCCTTCCGTCTCGAAGCCCTATCACCTTATGCAGTGTTGGAAAACTACCAGACAGGAGCCCACCCCACATTCACCCCCCCCTTACTTAAAAGTGGCACTGCTTTCTGGTGACATTCAGGTTGTCTCCTACCCATCTTGAAAAACAAAAAAGTGTGATGCAGAGTTTAGGAACTGAGAAGCAAAGGGCCTGTGGCAATTGAAAGGAACAGGCCGTCTCTAAGCAGCATTCATCTTGGACGGTCCTTAAAGGACCAGAGCCTGAGGGGACCTCGGATCATCAGCCTCCTTTGTGAGTCGCAGCTTTAGATTTGGAAGGAGCTTCAGAGAACAGCTAGTCCAGCTGCCTCATTTTACAAACAGGGAAACCTAAGACACAGAGGGATCGAGAAACCTACCCAAGTCTACGTTGGTTCTAAGTGGTTAAAACATAATTCAAACGTAGGCTCTCTCTTGCCATATCCAGCACTCCTTCCCCTGAACCCCAGTGTCTCCCTCATCCAACCGCTACCTCAACAAGAGTCCACAACCTCTCCAGCCAGGGGTCACTTAGGATCTACTTGAATACCTCCTTCAAAAAGTAAGTCATTCCCTTCCTAGACAGCCTTTTAAGGAGACAAAGAGAATTTTAGACAAGTTCTGTATGATAGAGCTCTGAAGAAAATTGAATGGGAATAGAAAGGAGTATACCTTTTTCTCAGCTGTACATGGCACCTTCAAAAAAATTGACCAGTATTAAGGCATTAAAAAAAAAACTCCCAAACAAGTGTAGAAAAGTATAAATATTAAATATACTCTCTTCAGACCATAATGCAATACAAATTATATTCAATAAAAGGCCTTGGAAGCATAGACTAAAAATTTATCTAATCCTAAGGAATGAGTGGATCAAAGAACAGATCATAGAAACAACCTTTTAAGACAGCCCATTTCACGCTGAAGCAGCACTCTCGCCAAATTCAGCCAGGCTTTGGGCATGACGTGAAGACGTTGTGTTCCCTATCCCCTGCAGGGCCACGAACCTCAAAGGCATCCTGTGATGCCTTTGGTCACAGGTGGCCTATGGAGTGTGAGCCCCTTGAGAGTAGAGACCTTCCTTTGGTATCTTTGTGTCCCTCCCTCGTAGCCCGGTACCTAAATGCTGGCTGAGTTGAGTAGAATGGACAGCAGCCTCTCCCCCATCCCACATTGGCTGGCTGTCCACATTGGGCTGCTGCAGTAGCACAGAAATAAGGATGAGTGAAGCTGTCTTCCCAGGGGGACGATGCTCTGTGCTGCAGCAGTGGGTCCTGCACGGCCGAGGTGAGCAGGCCTCACCTGGTGGGTCGATTACAAGACCTTCAGCAGCGGGTAGAAGTGGCCCTGGAGCTGCTCAGAGGTGACAAAACAGGTGAGAGTCCCTTCCGTCACCTTTACTCCTCCCCCTTCACCCCAAATCACTGCTGCTCACACTCAGGGGCTCAGTAAATGTTTATCGAATTTAATGGGATTATCCCGATGGCAGCCACAAGGTGGCTGTGTCATCCACGGAGACCAGAACCGCCTTTATCGATTGGAAGCCCTTGGAAGGGCTGGATAATGTGCCAAGCTGGCATCCCTTCCAGTGACGAAAGAGTTTTCTCTGCCACGTGTGGGCCCCTGCGTCATTCCCTTTTATTTGGATACCAAGGCCTCACTGACTCAACTTCCCAGAAGTGTGGTTGTGTCCCCGACAGGGTTGGAGGCTTCCAGAGGGCAATGGGGCATGGGCATTTTTTCAGGGGCTGAGTTCTAGAGACCCTGCTATGTGGCATGGCATCGAGAGGCTTTGCAGGGGTGGAGTTCAGACTCTAGACTCTGGAATGGAACCACAAAGCACTGTGGGAGCAGAGACATGTTCCCTGCATGCGAATGATGGGTCCCAATAGGGAGCGTGGGGCTTCGTTGAGAAAGAGGGAGACTCCTCACTCGCTCAGCCAGCCGCTGTAGAGCCTGGGTCCTAAGCTTCTGCTGCCCTGTTTTTGTTTGCATTGATAGTGCGAGCCATCCAGCTTTTGTTGGGGTGCCGGCAGGAGGCAGAGAGCTTCTTAACCTCGGAGCACATGCTGATGGGAGAGATTGAGGACCACCTGGCCCAGGCATATGCCAGCCTCGGTAGGGCATTTCCCCCAGAGAAAGGGGGTGGATCACTTTGTTTTGTCTTGGCTTAACTGTCTACTGATCAGTGAGTGTTTTCCCTAAACTCAGACCTTGTCCCCTGAGAAGTCTTGGCTGTAATAGAGGGAGTGTGCTTCTCTTCCTGGAATCAGGTTGTGTTTCCTGACAGGGGACTGGCCCGAATCTGCAGCCCACTTGCGAAACAGTCTTAAGGTGGTGGAGGCCCAGCACGGACCAGCCAGTGTGGAGATGGGCCACGAGCTTGTCAAGTTGGCTCAGGTCCTTTTCAATGGGTAAGGCTCTTCAGGCATCATCCCAGCCCTCTGCCCAAGCACACGCCTGGGCATGCCCTTAGCCAGACTCACTTTGTTCTTTTTTCCTATCCTGGAAGCTTCACCGAGTTCTTTAAGGTATTTTGAAATTCTGAGTAGCTTTCTTATTTCCTCTTCAGGGGAAAATTGAAGTGTCTCTCTTTCTGACATGATGAGAACATTTGTGCACCATGCTGAGAGAGATGACCATGCACTCTGAGATCCCAGTTACACTCGTTGCCACCTACTGCTGCCTCCAGTCCAACCCTGTGGGCATTTATTAAATGCCTACTCTGTGTGAGGCACCAGGGACACAGAGACAGAATGGAAAACAACCCACACCTTCCCTCCTTCCATTTCTCAGCAGCTGTGGCCTCAGCTGTCTTCTGGCTCCCTCTTCCCAGCACCTGCCCTCTCACCCTTTCTTCTAAAGGTGGTGTTGATTATACCTTCCACTTCCTTTTCTCTCTGTCTTCTTTGGGAAACCCTGATTTGACCATTTCTGAACAGGCCCCCCCCCCCAAAAAAAAAAAAGTTAGTGTTGGTAAGTCTTTAAGGGAAGCTGCCAAGCTGCTTTTGAGAGGCAATAGATCTTCAAGACCTGGATTCCAGTCCAGCCTCAGACGCTGGCTGTTGTGTGGCCTGGCTCAGTCACTAACTCGCCTGAGCCTCTGACAGCTAAGACTGATTCAGAGTCGGGCTTCAGCCAGCATGGGTGGGAGGAGCTCAGGACCCGGGACGTCAAAGGGTGTCAGCTTCTTAGTGAGTGGGGAGGGAGTGTGGAGAGAGTCCATCTTCTGCCAACATGAAAGAGGAATAGTAAAAGTTGAGTTTGCAGTCAGTTAGCAGCATTTATAAAGCTCCTACTATTTGCCTGCTAAACACTGAGAATACAAAAGAAGAGAAAGATTGTTCCTGCCCTCAAGGAACTCACAGTGTAATGAAGCCAGCATTCCAATAAATAGGATGCGTACAGAATAAGGGCACAGAAACACTTCAGTCAACAAACATTTCTTAAGCAGGGGGATGAGATGTTGGGCAGACTTGTTCATCCTGAAAGAGGGTCTGAGATAGAAACTTTGGGTTGGTATGGCTGAAGGAAGATGTCCCAGGCTCTGTGTGGCTCCTAACAAGCAGGCCTAGCTTCCTCAGAGTTCTGTATCACACACTTGATACAGTCAAGTATCAAGGGTCAGCCCCTGCCCCAAACTAGAAGCTGCATATTCATCCCAGAGCCAGTTATACGAGGCCGTGCTCAGACACATGATAGAGTGGGTGACCTGACCTCTGCTTGCCTCTTTTGGTCCAGGTTTGCAGTCACCGAAGCCTTGAGTGTGATAGAGAAGGCAGAGAAGGTTCTGTCCATACACTATGGCCCTGAGAATGAGCAGGTGCAGGAATTGCAGCAGATGAAAGCCTGCTTACTGGAGTTACCAGGCCTCCCTGCGGGGCCCACGGCATAGGGACAGGCCTCTCAGCGTCTGCATGTGGCTGACATACAGTCAGCCTGGCCTATTGCAAGAGAGTCCCTGGGCACCTTTACACCTCCAGGAAATGTAAACAAACGTGCCTTCAAATTGCCGGGGAGCTGCTGCTGGTGAAGAATGAAGCCCTTAAAACAATGGGGAAACACGGCCAGAAAGTCACTAAACCATCTGTACCCTTGGGCCCAGCAGCCCCACTGCTGGCATCAGTCCCAAGGAGGGTCGTGTACACAAAATTATTTTTTTGGTGGCAAAAAACCAGAAAGCCAGTGGGTATATGTCAGCTGGAATGGCAGAGTGAATTGTGTGTATGACTGTACACAGTAAGAAATGACAACCAGGAGGCATTCCTAGCCGCTTGGGAAGGCTTCTGTGGAGTGATGCCGAGTGAAGTAAGCCAACCAAGGGAACAGTTTGCCCCGGACCAATAATGTAAAAGAAGACCTCATCGAACGACGTCGGTGACAGGTGCACCTGCCAAGGATGAGGTCGTGTGGACCTCCCTCCCCTTGGCAGAGAGGTGGGGGACCACAGGCACAGAATGGGGCATGCATCGTTGGAGGAGCCAATGTATCGGTTTGTTTACTTCATTGCACTTCCCTGTTACAAGTTGGGGTAGGTCCAGTATTGGGAAATGACTGAGATTTTTAAAAAGCATCCAACCTTTCAGAAAAAAATAAATGGCTTCAGGGAAATCCCACTCCTGGTATGTGATGTGGGGCAGGGGCAGGGGAGCAGTTACTCCACAATTACTGCACTGAGAGATGAGCTTTCAAAGGTTGCCATCATTCTGAGTACTGTTCCCTGAAAGGAGAAAATGTCCTAAACCAAAACCTGACCCCCTCAGAGGACTGAAGACAGAAGTCTAATGCTGTGTTCCTTTGAAAGGAGCTAGACTTTCCCTAGGAATCAGTCTGAGCCTCTAGACTCATGGCCAGGGTCCAACCCACTAAATTGTGAAGAGTTGGCTTCAGTGGAACACGCCTGCTGTTTCCAGTGGTCACATGATGCCGCATATGCCCCTAGAGGGGATTTAACTAATGGTGATTGTGTTTAAGAACAAAAACATGATTATAAGAAAACATGGAGTTGATGTGGTTTCTTCCCTCTGACAAGTACATAGGGCTTCACACAGAGTGTCTCATTTCACTGGGGGTCATTTTATTCAGGGGATGAGCTGTTTGGCAACTCCCAAATTTGTCTGGAGCCATTTTTCCAGTTCTGTCGAGTTTCCGTTCCGTTCCCTAACTACCTACTGAACAAACTAACAAAACAGAATGTGCCGTCATGACTTCATAATACTTGTGCCTCTTTTGTAAATTTCCCAGCTCGGAAGCAACATTGAAAAGGGCACCTCCATCGTTCCTAGAAAGGCAGACCACCCCAAGCCCACACTCACTATATGACTATCCAGCGTGGAAGTAATCACAAGGGGCGACTGGGGTTTCAGACCAAGAATACCCAGAGTGAGGCTGATGACTGGTTCCCACCTACATATATGAGAAGGGGGCAGCCCCCAGCCCACCCAGAAAGCTAGTAAACAACTCAAGAGTTGGAAAATTCTGCTTGTGGGAGAGCAACTGGCAACTGGAAAAGGCCAGTTACCCACCATTTTGATGTGGACAGTTTGGCCATGCCCAAGTAGACCTGGGTGATGGATGGGGCTCCATTGTCAGGGAATAAGAGCGTACTTGGACTAGGGGTTCTTGACTTTGGGGTCCAGACTACCCCAAGGGGTCATCTGAGGATAGATTTCAGGGCAGCCTGGGAACTTGGAGAGGAAAAAAAAAATGACACCTTTCTTTTCACAGCTTTAACTGAGATGAAGCATTTTCTTCCCTAACGAATGGAAGCAACGAACGTTATTCTGGGAAGGGGTCTGTAGGTGTCCTCAGACTGCCACAGGGGTCCCTGAGCCCACAGAGGGGAGGAAGCCTGGCCAGAGGCCCTGGAAGTGGTAGGACGAGTTTGAGAAAAGCAAAGTATCAGTTTTCCCAGCTGTTCTCCCTGTTGTGGCAAGTTTGTTATGAGCCAGAGGCACATTTGAGATGCTCAGGACCATCTTTTGGCCAATTCTGCTTCCTCGACCAGGACTGGTCCTCCATGGGTCCCAAAGAGGACCCCAGGCATTTCTCTCTTGGTTACTTGGCATTAGAAATGTGTTCCTAAAGGACTGTTTGGAAATGGACTCGTGCCTTACATGTGGACTTGACAAGCTTTTCAACTTTTGAACAAACTCTTGGGCATCTCTTATGTAAGTGAAGAATTCTTTCAGAGAAACGAATCCCTCCCCTTATGTATCTGGCTCTTCTTTCCCCCAGCCCTCCTCTTCCTCCTGACTTCTCTGTATCTGTGATGGCATTCCACTTGTCCAAAACCATGAGGTTATCTTTGGCCGCATGAGTAGCCTAATTAATAACCTACCTCCCCAACATAGGGTCGCCAAGCCTGCTGCCTCCTACATGAAGACTACAGAGCTTGCTTTGCAAGCTCTGATTATCATGCAGTATTGTGCATGGTATTGATTGGTGTGGTCATATTCACTTAAAGATTATAAGGGATCAGGGGTGGTAGCTTAGCTAAGCTTCGCGTGTGTTTGCATGTAATCGATGTTTAAAAAATATTGAAGTAATCTGGACCTGAGCCATAGGCAGGCAAATGTGCTGTGACTGATTCACGTGGGTGGATATTAGAGATGGGGAGGAAGGGACCGTCCTACACTGGAACTGAAGCTCCATCATGTGATCCTTGGGCTACCGTCCAGCTCGGGGATCCTGTGTGTGATCTAATAAAATGGCCTGGATCCAGATTCCAAAAACCCAAGTTGGAGTCCCAGCTGTGCTCCTTACTGGCTGTGAAGGAAAGGGTAGTGTATAGTAAGCACAATGTGAAGTTAGGAAGTCCTGGATTCAAATCCTGCCTTAGACGCTTAATGCCTTAGGTAGTCCTGGGCAGATCACTCTCCAAGTCTCAGTTGCCCCATCTGTGAAAAGGGAATAATGATAGCACCTACCTCCTAGGGTAGCTGGAAAGTTCCAGTAAGGGAAGGTATATAGAAAGTGGGGCAGGAAGGTGGCACAGTAGATAGAGCACTGGGCCTGGAGTCAGGAAGACCCGAGTTCAAATTCAGCCTCAGACACTTACTAGCTGTGTGACCCTGGGCATGCCGCTTAACACTGTGCATCCATTTCTCATCTGTAAAATGAGCTGAAGAAGAAGATGCCAGTATCATTGCCAAGAAAACTCCAAATGAGGTCACTGAGTCAGATACTACTGAACAACAATAATAGAAGGTATTTTGAAACAACTGCTGTATAAATGGCAGCTGTTATGATCACATGGCCTTGGGCAAGTCACTTAACCTTGGGGAACCTGTTTCTTCATCTCTAAAATGGGGATAATAACGTTCAGGCCCTTCTCCCCTACAAAATTATAATAAAGGTCAAGTAAGGTTTATGTGTTTGGGTTGGGCCTGTGATGTCATTGGGGTAGAGAGCTCTTACTGAGGAAACTCCCTCTCCTGGTACAGATCAACTGGCTGCTGAGTTGTCTCTCCCTGCCTTTTTTTTTCCTTTTATTTATTTTTTTGTTTTTTTTATTTTTAGGCAATTGGGGTTAAGTGACTTGCCCAAGGTCACACAGCTAGTAAGTGTCAAATGTTTGGTTGGAGGCCGGATTTGAACTCAGGTCTTCCTGACTTCAGGGCCAGTGCTCTATCCACTGCACCACCTAGCTGCCCCCCTTTTTTTTTCATTTTAAGCAATTGATATTAAGTGACTTGCCCAGGGTCACACAGCTAGTAAGTGTCAAGTGTTTGGTTTGAGGCCGGATTAGAACTCAGGTGTTTCTGACTTCAGGGTGAGCTGTCTTTTTTTTTAAAAGGTGGCAGAGGAGAGGCCAAGGACTGGTCTAAGGTCACACAGCCAGTATATACTAGAGGCAAGACGTGTAAAAACCCAGTGAGCTGCCAGACCATGCAGTTTCCTAACTGCAAAGTGCCATGAATGCTCGTGAATACTTACCACAGAATTTCAGAAGTAGAAGGAGCGGCAGCACTTTGGTGCAATCCATACCTCAGAGGAAGGCCAGTTACGACAAACCCCCCTCCTCTCCCTTCCCCCCCTCTCCCTGGCCATTCCCTCGTCATCAATGGTCATTCAGCCTTTAGTTGAAGATTCCCTGGTAAGGGAGGGAGGAGAGGGGACAGTTTTTCGTTTTCCTTTGTACCTCCAGTGCCTAATGTAGTGCCTCGCACATAGAAGGCACTTAATAAATGCTTGTTGGATTGAATTGGATCAGGGAAACCCACCACCTTTCAAGGCAGCTCCTCTGTTAGCATCAGGCTTAAACTTTCCTCTTTGCTGCTTCTGGCCTTTCTTTCCGAGTCTGGCCCAAGGGTCAGAGAGAACAAGTGTGACCCTTCTGCCAGGTGACTGCTCTTTAAATATTTCAAGGTGCCTTTAAGATGGCCGCAGACCATCCAGCAGCAGTGAGGCCGATCCCCAGGTTATTGTGAAATTCAGCAGCTGCTAGCTAATGCAGGGCTTACTGGGACCGAGCCTGAAAAGCCAGAAGCCCAGCAGCAACCATCGACCCCACAGCCCAGGACAGAGGCAAAGCAGTCAGTTTTCAGAGGCTCACGTGACCATCTTTATTGCACAGCACGTGTGGGAAAGTCACGCGTCAGCCCACGGACAGCACATGCACCAGTCGGCCTGGGTTATCCTCTGCCCTGGGCCACTCAGGGGCCCCTGGGGTCCAAGACTTTGCCGATGAAGAGAAGGGCCCCAGTGTCCGTGTCCCGGAGAACAAAGATGAAAGGCTTGTTTAGGTGGTAGTCCAGAGAGAAGGTGAGGCGAGCCGGTTGGAGGCTGGGGCTGGGCGGCGTTCCTGCCCCGTCCTCGTTCCATTCAAAGGCCGCCCTGTGTTCCACCTGAGTGAGCTTGAGAGGTTTGCCTGTGATCTTGCTGAAATCCGGGGCGTCAAACAAAGACTGCAGCTCTGAAGGGAGGAGAGATTGCCATGAGAACTCCAGCGAAGGCTTTGGCCTAGGGCTGGAAGGGATCCTCCCCAGTCCTGCTCCTTTTACAGAAAACTGCGGCCGAGAAAAGTTAAGGGGCTTGCTTACGGTCACGTGGACAGCAAGAGGGAGTGTCATCCAGTGTGGCCAATCCCGGACTGGTAGTGACCTGCCTCTGCCTCTGCCTCCTAAAACCTGCACAGCCAGTCGGCCCCTCCAGGCCTCAGTTTCTCATTTGTAAAATGAGGAGATATGCTAGATGACCTCAAAGGTCCCTTCCAACCATAAAGCTGGGTCCCAAGTTCCGAACCAGGATTTGAACCCAGATCCTCGGACTCCAAATCTGGATCCTTTTCATTGCACCAGACTGAATCTAGGGCCCCCACGAGGGTCCTCAGAAATTAGAAGCTCAGAGATTTAGAGCAGGAAGGCACCTGAGAAGTCCCCTAGTCTAAGTCTTTCATTTTATAGATCAGGAAACAGGCCCAGAGAGGGCCAAATGTGGCCCAAATCACATGAAACTACTACGAATACAACCGTAATCATGGCCATTTATCAAGTACTTCATGGTTGGCAAAATGTGTCATAGGCCTTATTTCATTGGTACTTGGCAACAACCCCAGGAGGCAGGTGCCGTTGTTACCCCCCGCCCTTGCAGGTGAGGACACTGAGGCTCAGAGAGGTTTAGTGACTTAAAAAGCAGAGGAAAGAAAGAAAAGAGGGGGGAAGGAAGAAAAGAAAAAAAAAAAAACAGGTCCTCTGACTCCACTTTCTACTTTCTAAAGAGGACAAGCAGGTTCAGCTCCTGACGGTCAGCTGGGCTTTGTTTAGTTTTGATTACGTTCTAAGAATTGTGTCAGGTACTGGAGATACATTGTGTGTGTGTGTAGACTGGAGGTGGGGACACCATCAAGGAAGCCATTGCCACAGTTCAGGGGAGAAGTGATGAGGGCTTGAACGAGGGTGGGCCTGTGTCAGTGGAGCCACAGGGGCGTCTTCACGAAATGGCGATGGGGAGAGAGGTGCGTGAGCTGAGCTGAAGAGGTCCACCTGTACAGGCAGCG